AAAGCGCCAAAATTATGGAACAATTTGTCTCAATCTTTGAGGGGAATTGTAAATGATAAAAAAATCATTTAAGAAAAAATGAAAAACTTTTTTGTTTCAATGAATAGATTTCGGAGGACCAGAGCACAGTGAGCATGCTAAAGTGGCATGAAACGTAAATATCATTATATTTTTTAAGTTATTAAATGTGATGAGTTTTTAGCAATAGCAGCTAGAAATTATCGCAAAGGATCCATCATTAATATCCTGATAACATCGGGTCATTTATTCTAGTATATATCTATTTATAATTTTAATGAAATTATTCCTTAAATATTGAATGAGCTTCATTGGCTTAGTGTTACATGCACATGTTTAGTTTCAATTGCACTGTTTAGTGTCATATGCACAGGTTTAGTGTCACTTGCACTGTTTAGTGTCATATGCACAGGTTTAGTGTCACATGCACAGGTTTAGTGTCACATGCACAGGTTTAGTGTCATATGCACAGGTTTAGTGTCACTTGCACTGTTTAGTGTCATATGCACAGGTTTAGTGTCACATGCACAGGTTTATTGTCACATGCACAGGTTTAGTGTCACCTGTACAGGTTAAGTGTCACAAGCACAGGTTTAATGTTACCTGCGCAGGTTTAGTGTCACAAGCACAGGTTTAGTGTCACATGCACAGGTTTTGTGTCACCTGCATAGGTTTAGTGTCACATGCACAGGTTTAATGTCACATGCACAAGTTTAGTGTCACATGCACAGGTTTAGTGTCACCTGCATAGGTTTAGTGTCACATGCACAAGTTTAGTGTCACCTGCACAGGTTTAGTGTCACCTGCATAGGTTTAGTGTCACATGCACAAGTTTAGTGTCACCTGCATAGGTTTAGTGTCATATACACAAGTTTAGTGTCACCTGCACAGGTTTAGTGTCATATGCACAGGTTTATTGTCACATGCACAGGTTTAGTGTCACCTGTACAGGTTAAGTGTCACAAGCACAGGTTTAATGTTACCTGCGCAGGTTTAGTGTCACAAGCACAGGTTTAGTGTCACATGCACAAGTTTAGTGTCACATGCACAGGTTTAGTGTCACCTGCATAGGTTTAGTGTCACATGCACAAGTTTAGTGTCACCTGCACAGGTTTAGTGTCACCTGCATAGGTTTAGTGTCACATGCACAAGTTTAGTGTCACCTGCATAGGTTTAGTGTCATATACACAAGTTTAGTGTCACCTGCACAGGTTTAGTGTCACCTGCACAGGTTTAGTGTCATATGCACAGGTTTAGTGTCATATGCACAGGTTTAGTGTCATATGCACAGGTTTAGTGTCATATGCACAGGTTTAGTGATTAATGTTTAGGATCTTTTATGCACTTTCGGGTTGTTTTTTTTTTTTTTGGACCAGTGCATTGTCCAATCAAAATATTCACACACGTTTGACTGCCGACTGGTCTAACAGTGCACGCATAGGTCAGTTATTTGAAGACTTCTTCAACTATAATGTTAGATAATGTTGTCTCGTTGTTCCCCATTGTATCCTTTATAAAGTAAGAAACTACACTTGAATACATTTTACATTTTTCCTACAATGTTATGTAAAACATGAATACCACAAAATAATATTTTTTTTTTCTATCTTGTAATTTTCATTTTGCTTCTCTATTGAAAGCTGCAGCTCTTGGAGATCCTCGTGCATTGACTTTGCTCTGTCTAACGGAACTGCTAAATCTGGACGGGGAATGCTGGTAGGCATGCGTCGCTTTCGTTCACCACAGTTTGTTTACTAGAAATTTTTCCCAATCGGAGTATTCAGCAGCAACGCAACTGGTTTCAGTAGCCCTTAGACTGCTGCTGCTGCTGAATGCCATATTAGTTGTCTTTGCTGCCCCCGCTCCTTTGCCTTCCGTGTTTGTCTCACCAACAGTCGACTGCACAGCTTATACTACCCCTCCTCATTCTCTCTCTCTCTCTCTCTGTCTGAAAGAATTCTCTGTTTTTAGGTAGATTGATCATGGCCAGAGTTTCAACGCGTGTAATGTCAAAAAGTTCCTAAAAACTTTTGGCTAATTGACAGTAAAGTACTTCAAAGCCAAGACAAATGTAGGTCCTTCAGTTTTATGATGTCGAAGTCCTTCCTTTTAGGAAAATGTGCCCTGTCCCATAACTTAGCAGCTTCCTTCTTGGTTGCTGTTACAGCATACAGTATATACCCATTTACAAATTACACTGGAAGAATCTCGAAAATAGTGCCTTACTCTAGTCGAGTCTCTTGGATTTTTCAATTTCAATGTTTTAAAAGCAACTCCCAAAAGCCTCGGTGTTGTGGTCATTGGCGCGCATGTTTTGGTCTAACTCTTTGACCTAAATATTTTCCCAAAACTTACTATCCTGCATGAATGATGGAAGTATTTCGGTTCTACTGCCATGTGGAATTGTTAAACTTTCACCCATGAATGGCAAAATGGTACAAATACCATTGTAGCGGGGACATGGTCCCTGACTAACAGCTTTCTTCATACCTGTGGTCCGCCTGAATTACCATATGGGAAATTCAAAGGGTAGCACATTGGGTCACAGTATAACAAGTATCAGATCACAGTGAAAAGAACTTCAGAGATTTCCTTTTTTGAAAAAATAAGAATAAGGGAGAGAATCTTAACGGACCAAAATATGCAGGGATACGTAAAATCTAATGAAAAAAAAAGAAAAAAAGAAAAAAAAAAGATGAAATACAGGGAAATTGAGATGCATTAGTAACAGAGTATTTGATTCATACCATCTGGGGATATGGTATTATTATTTTTGGTCCTCTTCATGAATTCAAGTTTAGCAGACCTTATTCTTATATCTTTTCTGTCCAAAGACAAATCTAATATTTGTGATTCTTTTAACGCACCGAATTTGTATTTGATAGTATTTAATTTTAATGTATTAATAAAGAAAACGGAGGGAACTTCAGATTTTTCGGTGGGAGGGGGGGGGTGGGTGGGTGGGGGGATTATTTGTTGGAGATATTTTTGATCGGGGGGGGGGGCCCTTTTTTTTCTCGGGGGGGCGGCCCCCCCCCCCCCCCACAAGATATAGCTGAAAGAAACCCCGGTCCCAAGTTCAATTTTCAGAAGACTTATTATTTTTTTAAAATTTTAGGAGAACATTTAACAGGGCACTAAATTATCGAGACCATTGACCGCTTTAGAACTTGGTCAGTTATTTATAAGTACCCTTTACGTTGAACAAAATATTCAAACTGTGTAAATAAAAAAGCCATAACCTTTTATAATAATAATAACAAGAATTCTTAATTGTGTTGATGTGAAGATGTTTTATGAATTATTCTTTTATTGAAAGATTAGTCTGCATGTCATGGTGTTAAGAGTTAAAAAAAATGTTACGTTGACAATATGTCTTAAATGGGTTTTAATTTAATGTTAAACTTCAATCATTAGTTAGCTGCAAATACCTCGTTAAGCTTATTATGATGCTTGTGTTTTTTTTAAATTATATAAATTGTGCCCAAGACAAGCGATCGCAGTTCCACACCAAGACTTCATACCTGATTAAGCAATCAGAACTATTCTAAAATCACACCAAATAAGAACAGGTGGATGACGCAGTTCCACTTCATGACTTCCATACCTGATTAAGCAATCAGAACTATTCTAAAATCACACCAAATGAGAACATGAGGATGACGCAGTTCCACACCAAGACTTCCATACCTGATTAAGCAATCAGAACTATTCTAAAATCACACCAAATGAGAACATGAGGATGACGCAGTTCCACACCAAGACTTCCATACCTGATTAAGCAATCAGAACTATTCTGAAATCACACCAAATGAGAACATGAGGATGACGCAGTTCCACACCAAGACTTCCATACCTGATTAAGCAATCAGAACTATTCTAAAATCACACCAAATGAGAACATGAGGATGACGCAGTTCCACTTCATGACTTCCATACCTGATTAAGCAATCAGAACTATTCTAAAATCACACCAAATAAGAACAGGTGGATGACGCAGTTTCACTTCATGACTTCCATACCTGATTAAGCAATCAGAACTATTCTAAAATCACACCAAATGAGAACATGAGGATGACGCAGTTCCACACCAAGACTTCCATACCTGATTAAGCAATCAGAACTATTCTGAAATCACACCAAATGAGAACATGAGGATGACGCAGTTCCACTTCATGACTTCCATACCTGATTAAGCAATCAGAACTATTCTAAAATCACACCAAATGAGAACATGAGGATGACGCAGTTCCACTTCATGACTTCCATACCTGATTAAGCAATCAGAACTATTCTGAAATCACACCAAATGAGAACATGAGGATGACGCAGTTCCACACCAAGACTTCCATACCTGATTAAGCAATCAGAACTATTCTAAAAGCACACCAAATGAGAACATGAGGATGACGCAGTTCCACTTCATGACTTCCATACCTGATTAAGCAATCAGAACTATTCTGAAATCACACCAAATGAGAACAGGACGATGACTAACACAATTTTAAAAACAAAATTTCCGCCACATGGACGCCCCTAAAAATTGTCCGCTCCAGGCAGCCGCGTAATCTTGTCTGGTGGTAGATTCAGAGAGTTAGTTAGTTATTAATTGCTGAGTTTGATAACACTAAAATTGATTGGATCTTTTGTGACCCGCAAAAAAAGAGTAGTGTTCGTCTTTGAGTGAACCATTAAATCAATTGAAATGATTAACTTTTATTTTAATTTTTTGTTCCCACTCCAAAGGAAAAAAAAATAAGTTCATATTTAAATGAAGTGGGCCCAAAACAGAAAAGTGACAGTTGTGGTGGTGTGGTTGGGGGGGGGGGGGGGGCCTTTCAAAAGTCACGTGTTTTTGGTCCCACTCCAAAGGAAAAAAAAATAAGTTTATATTTAAATGAAGTGGGGCCAAAACAGAAAAGTGGCCGGTGTGGGGGTGTGGTTGGGGGGGGGGGGGCGGCCTTTCAAAAGTCACGTGACGGCTCTGCTACTACAGATTTGTTCCCGTTCCTTGTTGTTAGCAGTTTCCATTCTTCCGATAGCAAAGTAACAGTTTCCACATCAAGTCCTCCATACCCGAGTAGTCAACTCTGAAATTTTTAACTATTCTAAAAGCACACCAAATGAGAGCAGTGCGATGGTCGACAGGCTTAAGATTGAGTTTGTGGGCAGGGGGCCTCCTGAATTTGTTTTCACTGTCGTCTGTTTAAAGTCCGAGGCGGCTTTGTATTCTCCAATCAAAGAAAATGGCATTTGTTCCTCTCGTACAGCCGGGCATTCGAATCTCCGACATTCTGTGAAGGAATTTACATATTATGATAATGAGAAGTAAAATACTTAGGCCTCCTGACTTTAAAAAGTAAGGCAATTAAGAATTAATTGCCCTACTTTAACTAGGACCGCTGACCATAGAAATAATACATTTAAGTACTAATGGGCCTATCTCAACAAGGACCATTGAACCTACAAAATGATACAATCAAGTACTAATAGGCCTATTTCACAGAACCTAAAAACTAATACAGTTAAGTACTTAAAGGCGTAAGTCTAAGACAGAAAGACAGGCGACAAGCTACTATTCTTCAAAGAAATAATAACTATTGAGTACAATGAAAACAGAACGACTAGCATTAGACAAAAAAAAAAAAAAAAAAAAAAAAAAAAAAAAAAAGAAAAAAAAAAAAAAAAAAAACAAAAAAAAAAAAAAAAAAAAAAAAAAAAAAAAGGAACAAGCGACGATAGCGGAAGATACCACTGTAGTGAAGTTTTGATTGAAATTGATTCATGTTGATCGGACACGATACAGTAACATTAGCGACACAGTGTTCTTACCAAAAACGTTGGAAGATCTAAAATAAGATACAGATCGGATGGAAGGTTTGTTGTAACTATTCAAATCCCGAACAATGTTGCATCTCCTGGCCAAAGAAATAATACATTAATAAATTAAATACAAATGTATAAAAATGTATATAAATGTATGTATGTATATAATAATAATAATAATAAAGTTCATTTCAAAAACACGCTTCATCCCCAAAGGCTCGAAGCGCGGTACAAAGTCAACAAAAAACATATCTATAGTTTACCTCATTTAAAACAAACGCAACACTATATATGTATGGCTTTGTTTAGCATTTATTGAGCATAGCTAATGTAAATCTTTACAATTACAAGCATGCCAAATAAATTATAGAAATGTTTGTTCAGATCTAGCAAAACTTTTCAAGTAGTCTTACGTTAAACCAAAGTGAATTCACTTGATTATAGAGCAGTTTTATTTTTAAAGTATAGGTAGCTACCCAGCTCGGGAAATCCTATGACAATATGACAGGAATAGCTTGAGTACTTAAAAAATTAAGATAAAGTAAAACCTCCGTTTTGAGACCCTATTTTAAACGACTTCCTCCAACAAACGACCGGAAAAAATTTCACTGATGCTTTGTACTATATAAACGACATCTCTTAAACGACTTACTCTAAAACGCGACTTACGACCTTCAAATAATTCAATTTTACGACCTAGCACCCGAAAAAGTCAGATACAAAAGCAATGCTATATTTGTGCCTTGAAGAAAACAGTTTCGTTAACAACTTTTAACAGCAGACGATACACGAGAGCATCTAGGACAGTGGTTCTCAACCTTTCTAATGCCACGACCCTTTAAAACAATTTCTAATGTTGTGGCGACCCCCAACAACAAAAATATTTTCGTTTATACGATATAACAGCAGAGGATATGTGTTTTCAGATGGTCTTAGGTGACCCCTGTGAAAGGGTCATGCGACCCCCAAAGGGGTCGCGACCCACAGGTTGAGAACCGCTGATCTAGGAAGTAGTGAAAGGGAAATAACTCTTGCACCGTAAATTTGTCAGTTGAAAACAAGATGGAATACTACAAAGAGCTGACCAGATTTACCCTGAGCAGAGGCCTTTCAGACCTTGCCGACACCATGTCTGGGTTTCAAAATGACATACAAAAAGAACATGCAGGAGGGGGTGGGGATGGGAGCATGCAAACAAACAGAAATAACAGCTTTCTTTAAAAAAAATATTAGAAAATATTCAATGATTCTATCAAAATGATTACAATAATATTAATGAACTTATCCTATACATGAATAGCTACAACTCTAAGCATGCACTCAGCACTTACACACGCTTTTAAACAACTACCGTACCAGCATTGATTTTTTTCTTTTAGAAGTAATGAAGACAGTGACTGTATTGGATGTGAGACAGGGTTTAATCTATATTTCTGAAAGACAGATGGTAGATATTGCCTATACTTAATGGTACGTGTCCTTTTTTTGTATTTATTTTACTTGTTTACTTCATTTTCTAAATGTCGATTTTCGAAAATGTCCCACCTATTTTTTTTGAGACGCCTCCAATTTAGACCTCGTTTTTATGACAACTGAAAGGTCTTAAAAAGGAGGTTTTACTGTATTATGTAAACGGTATATTTTTAAACTTTTTTTTTTTTTTGTTTCGTCCTTTTGTCTTAAAAAAATTAAATACTATTTCCATTGATCAGTTTATATTTAAACAACTATTTCAAATTTCCTATACGGCTGCATTATTTAGACCTCGTTTTTATGACAACTGAAAGGTCTTAAAAAGGAGGTTTTACTGTATTATGTAAACGGTATATTTTTAAACTTTTTTTTTTTTTTTGTTTCGTCCTTTTGTCTTAAAAAAAGTAAATACTATTTCCATTGATCAGTTTATATTTAAACAACTATTTCAAAATTCCTATACGGCTGCATTCTCACAACAACAAATAAATACAATAAAATTAAAAAAAATATTCCACTATTTATCTGCGAACTAAACTTGAAATAAATGTTCTAAAACCTTCTTTAATCACGTACAAGCTGTACATACATCATTTTCTGCAGTCTGCCTTTTAAGAAACAATAAAGTTATCGCGCCCTCTGCAAAGACCGGGTACATCGCATTGCAGAAAAGCAAGGACGAAAATAGGTAGTTTATACAAATGGCACGCTGCATACAGTAGACTACTTCCTTCCTTGCTCCACTGCTATGCTCTGTGTCATTTACATAAACCACATGTTCCTCCCTTGCTCCACTGCTATGCTGTGTGTCATTTACATAAACCACGTGTTCCTCCCTTGCCCCACTGCTATGCTGTGTGTCATTTACATAAACCATATTTCCCCCCCCCCTACCTCCAGTGCTTATGTGGTTACAAAAAATGAAACGCTGCGAAGACCATTATAGTGATGCAGTGGATAGAAAAAAGACGGAGCACAATAAACAAAGGGGACATCGAAATCAGGACGCTACTCGCAACCTTGCAAACGTAAAAACAAGAGATACGTGCACTTAGACAGCTTTTTAACGTTGTCGTATCACAGGATATTGGAGAAGAAATTAGGACACATTTAGGACAGTGAAAGCGTTTCCATTTCGACACTTCAAGATATGCCCCCCCACCCCACCCCCCAACCCCGACCCCTTCGCCCTACCTGAGAATGAACCTTTCTATCATTTGAATCATCAATTGCTCACTATTGTGATAAAACTTTATGTTTCATGTCTGAATGGAAGTAGTCTTCATAAACCCGTTCTTCCACGATGTTTATAAAAAAAACAAAAACTCCGATAGAGTGTCATTAACTGCATGTGGCTTAAATTCTTGTATCATACGCTAAAATATGCATTGAATCTTATAAACATCAAAGAAAACTAAATGTAACATGATCTGATCACTGCATTATTGTGTTGTAAATTTAACATGAGATCATCACTTCATTGACATGTTGTAAATGTAACATGGCTTTATCACTTCATTGAATTGTTGTAAATGTAACATGACCTAATCACTGCATTAATGTTTTGTAAATGTAACATGACATTGTAACTACATTGATTTGTTGTGAATGAGACATTTCAGCACTGCATTAATGTTTATAAATGGCCTTATCCCTGAATTATTTTGTTGTAAATGTAACATGACTTCATCACTTCATTTATTTGTTGTAAATGTAACATGACCTAATCATGACCTAACATGACCTAATCACTGCACTAATAGTTTTGTAAATGTAACATGACCTCATCTTTGCATTAATGTGTAGTAAATGTAACATGAACTGATCAATGAATTATTATATTATAAATGTAACATGTCCTTATCACTGCATTGATTTGTTGTAAATGTAACATGAACTGATCAATGAATTATTATATTATAAATGTAACATGTCCTTATCACTGCATTGATTTGTTGTAAATGTAACATGACTTCATCACTTCATTGATTTGTTGTAAATGTAGCATAACTTTATGGCTGCATTAATTTGTTGTAAATGTAACCTGAACTAATCCATGCTTTAATGAGTTGTAAATGTAACATGACCTAAACACTGCATTGATTTGTCGTAAATGTAACCCCTTATAACCTTTTTTGATTTAATGTAAATGTAACATGACCTCAAAACTGCATTAAATTGTTGTGAATGTAACATGACCTCATCACTGCATTAATGTGTTGTAAATGTAACATGACTTCATCACTGCAATAATAGTTTTGTAAATGTAACATGTCCTTATCACTGCATTGATTTGTTGTAAATGTAACATGACTTCATCACTGCAATAATAGTTTTGTAAATTTAACATGTCCTTATCACTGCATTGATTTGTTGTAAATTTAACATGACTTCATCACTGCAATAATAGTTTTGTAAATTTAACATGTCCTAATCACTGCATTGATTTGTTGTAAATGTAACATGACTTCATCACTGCATAAACGTGTTGTAAATGAAAGCTTTTAATGTAAAAAGCCAATCCTTACGAAAAGTGAGGTATTCGGTGTAGCTTCCCCTTGTGTGAAAAGAGAATGATGGCGTATATGTGATGCCCAGTCGTGGGGTAGGGACGCAAATATATTTGGCTTTCCCTTTCACGCATTTCAAGGCTCTCACCTGGAACAGTCGAACAATTCAATTCATGTTATTAAATGGTTTTTTTTTGTTTTTTTTTTGAAATCGTAGTCTGATATCAAATGCATAGAAAAGTAGAAGATTTAACAATTGATAGGAACCGTCAAGATTTATTTTTTGTTTTGTATTTTAATTTCAAAATGGCACATTAATACTTGTCTCAATGACCCGGGGGCTTAGGAGGGGGGTTTGCAACAGGCGGTTCGCCCTACGGTCCACCCTGGGCGGCATTTCTCTTCTTTATATTTATAGGCAAGATTTTTCGGCCCAATACAGTTTTTATTTCGTTGAGCGAGGCGGCAAAATGGAGACACGCCCTGGGCGGCACTAACCTTAGCTATTGCCTTATTAACGCACTTTAATTATTTTTAAATATCTTTTAATTTAATGAATCACATGGTAGCATTATCTTGTCGCGCTTATGTCATATATCGTTGTTAATTACAATGACATCACACTACTACTTACAATTACATCGCGTCCTCTTAACTACACTTACATCATATACCATTACTAAAAACGTACAATTGCATCATGTACTATTATTTACCGTATAGCAATAACGCATTTTTATTTACTATTACCTTGTACAACATTATTATCAACTATTATATTTGACGCTGGCATTACAGAAATGCTAAGTAGGACTGCCGGCCCCACTAGGACTGCCGGCCCCACTAGGACTGCCGGCCCAACTAGGACTGCCGGCCCCACTAGGACTGCCGGCCCCACTAGGACTGCCGGCCCCACTAGGACTGCCGGCCCCACTAGGACTGCCGGCCCCACTAGGACTGCCGGCCCCACTAGGACTGCAGGCCCCACTTCCGACTTCCAAAGATGATGCTCTGACTTTTTTTTCATTTGTGCAAACAACCAACTGTGGAAGAATTATCAGTATGATCCGATAACACTAAGACTAACTTCCTTTGTCTTATGACTTCTGCGGGTTACGGCTCGGCAGGCATTGAAAATCTGACAATTATCATTGTATGTTATGGTGTATAACAGGCACTGAGAAGTGTGATATCTGGTGCTGAGAAGTGTGATATCAGGTGATGAGAACTGTAATATCTGGTGCTGAGAAGTGTAATATCTGGAGCTAAGAAGTGTAATATCTGGTGCGGAGAAGTGTAATATCAGGTGATGAGAAGTGTAATATTTGGTGCTGTGAAGTGTAATATCTGGTGCTGAGAGAAGTGTAATATCTGGTGCTTAGAAGTGTAATATCTGGTGCTGAGAAGTGTAATATCTGGTGCTGAGAAGTGTAATACCTTGTGATTGAGAAGTATAATATCTGGTGATTAAGACGTGTGATCTCTGGTGCTGAGAAGTGTTATGTTCGGTTCCGAGAAGTGTAATATTCGGTGCTGAGAGAAGTGTAATATCTGGTGCTTAGAAGTGTAATATCTGGTGCTGAGAAGTGTAATATCTGGTGCTGAGAAGTGTAATACCTGGTGATTGAGAAGTGTAAGATCTGGTGATTAAGACGTGTGATCTCTGGTGCTGAGAAGTGTTATGTTCGGTGCTGAGAAGTTAAATAACCGGTGCTGAGACGTGCACTGACTAGTCGTTGAATCTATCAACAGTTGCTGCTGTTGGTCGTTATTTCTTTCTATACACGTCCTCTTTATTGAACATTATGCTAGACTTGGTTGATCTAAGGTCTAACAGAAATGTCTAAATGAACAATGAAGACCATGAGGACATTTAAAACAAAAGTGCCCATATAAATGAAGCTCTCTGGAGGATCCGATGCGGACAAAGTTAAACTGAGTCGCATCTCTTGACCCATGCAGCAATGACTCATTGGATTGGGCTGTAACACTTGTCAAAAGTCTGACTGTATATTTTTAGGTTCACGAGATGAGTTTCGTTTTTCTTTTTCCCCATTCCAAACTCATCCATGAAATTGTATCGAAGAAGTGTGACAATAGGATTGCCGTAGTTCTCATTCGAGACGCAATATAGAGAGCTACCTTCGCCTTCATATTTCAAGACACATTATAGAGCGCTACATTTGCTTTCGTAGATCAAGACACACGATAGAGCTTTACATTAGTTTACTGATGTTTGCGCTACTTTGTTTCAACCTCATTATTCCATTGCATTATACGAGAAGCCAAATGACACAGTGTCTGGCACTATTGACTCATCAGTTCTCACAATGAACAAATCTGTTAGATCAACCTATTCCCTGGGACAGTGCTCACAAGAAATCTTTTAGATCGACCAATTCCCTGAGGCAGTGCTCACAAGAAATCTGTTAGATCAACCTATTCCCTGAGACAGTGCTCACAAGAAATCTGTTAGATCAACCAATTCCCTGAGACGGTGCTCACAAGAAATCTGTTAGATCAACCTATTCCCTGAGACGGTTATTAAATCCTGCCATTTTAATGATTAAAGGGAAAGACATTGAGGTGTGACTTTGTTAAAACAAGATTTGTAATGCTTAACAAATTTAGACTGTCAATTATGAATCCAGACCACAAAATCGAAAATTGCCAAAGCCCTCACCCCCACCCCCTTTTTTTTTCCAAAAAAAAAAAAAAGTTCGTGACAGATCCAAGTACAATAATAATTTTTTTGTGGAATTATTGTTTGTTAATTTCCAAGTACTTTTTTTCGATGAAGTGTATTTGCCGATGAAGTGGCGGCGATGAAATGTCTGTCAATGATGTGTCGGTCGATATTGTGTTTATATATCAAATTATGTGAGTCTATGAAGTGTGTGTCCATGAAGGGTCATGGGCTCCTTTGTCAAAATGCCGCCCAGAATGAAGTCCCGGGATGCCATCTCAAAACACCAGCTTACAATAATATTAAAATTTAATTACATGCTGCTAATAAATTTAAATGCTTTTTTTTTGCTTAGTGAGAACCTTTCTCTCACTCCTCCAACTATTTATTTCAGTTAAAGCAATAACTAAATGTGGGCTTACGAGTCTTTGGGCCCTCAATACGTCCAACATAATTCTCTATAGTCTCATTGGCTTCTTTCATTGCCTAGATACGCCACAGCTATCATCAACTCACCTGGATATTTCAAGTTGCCTTCAATGTATTGTAAATGTAACGGGCAGTGTTGATCAGATTCTAAATCAACAATTACAACGGTATAGAAAAGTTCAGTTTCTGTAGGAGAAATAAATAGTGTGATAGATAATTCTTTTAAGTGTAATAGCTCACTTTATCCAGACTACGCTTATTATACCGTACTTGAAATAACCGCCAAAAATGGCGGCTAACTTCCCAACTCCTAAATTTTCTTGACAAATTAATGCATTCAGGTAAAATGCTATTTAAGAATTCCATTTAGTGAGAGCTTTCTTAATTTTATTTTCCGCACCTATTGAACAAAGCCAGAGATACATTACCTGGGGAGTTATATGTTCAATGGTTTACCGTAATTATATTAGAAACAATGCACACTTTAATAAAAAGTTTTCTTTTTCTAATGTTACATTAATGGAGAAAACAGTTCAATATGTAACATTTCTTGAAAGTAATTGTTGGAGCCTCATGATTTAAATTTATTAGCTATTCATAAATGTCTAAATATAAAATTACAAAATGAAATTGAACTCCAGAGCTCCCTTTTCAGAAGTAGTATTTCATATCTTTAAAGAAGGTAAATAAATGAATTAGTTCTTGAATGTTCCTGAAGGTTTCTCCGTTAAGTAATTATTACTAGATCATGGATCTACGCTTAGAACTTATCCTGATATTGTCTTAGAATACAACGTATTCTGAAAGGTTCGTTCCTACATCAAGAAAAATTATGCCTGCGCAGTTTACATTGGAAACAAACAAAATGTTGAAAATGAAAGAAAAAAAAAAAAAGACTTAAAAAAATTGTGTTAAGTGTTTAAAAGTTCCCTTGTAACGCAGTTACAGGTCCCGACATTTCGAGCGTCATCCTTGAGAGATAGGTTTCTGGGAAAACCAGACCGACGTAGTTTAGGACGGCATCATTTCCAGGCGTGGGCCGGTATTCAAATTTCCTTTTTTAAAAAAAAAAAATTAAGATACTCGTTAAAATAATAATTTAATTTAAACATGAATAAGTCGATTAAATGAGTGAAATGGATTTGGCACGAAACAAAAAAACAAAAACAAAAAAACACGCAATTTTAAAAATAACAGACAAAAATTAGAAAAACAGCACCAAATAATAATAATAATAATAATAATAATAATAATAATAATAATAAAAACCACTAATAAAAATACAATTTAAAAAAGCACACAAATAAATTTTAAAAAACAACCTTTTTTGACAAGAAGTGACTGATGAATATCGGTTTACAATTTTTCAACAAATTTTAGTTTAACAATAATTTTAAATATATATATATATAATATATATATATTTGGTTTTAAAATGTACCTCCATCCACTTTCTTAAAAAAAAGAAGAAATTGGGTGGAAGTACATTAAAGAACCAAATCTAAGCAGCCGTGTAAAAGCGCGGACTTTGGTGAATGCCGTTTGGAGACAAAGTACCAAGTTTCGATGAATTTGCTTTTTTCTTTAACCCTTTCAGTTGTACTGCTCACAAAACAACAATCATAACTGCAACGTCAGACATCCCATTGGGGTTAGGACTGTTGACCTGTTTCAAAAAACGACACCGAGGCCTTGTTTATTTATACTGTACAGGTGTTCTGCAAAATGTTCTACAAGGCGACGACCTGTCTCCTCTACAGAGCATAATCCGTACGTTTTACAAATGACTGCGTCAATCACATTGCAAGCTGTGCAAGTAAAACCATCGTCAGCTCTGAATATGTCAACATGGCAGGGGTTATTATGAACTTCAATCACATAAGGATTACATCGACTACGGTTGGAACTTAATATCTGATTTAAAAACAGGGATTTGGCTAATAACATTGTTAAAGTCGTCGTCATCCCGGAAAGGAGAAAAAAAAATATTTTGTATATATTTATATTTTTTCGATACAAAGGTATCGTCCTTTACAAATCTCTTTTTTGAGGTCTCTATAAGCTGCCCCCCCCGCCCCCCCCCCCCCCGCACACCGTCGTTGAATTCTTCTATTGAGCTTTTGTAAGCTCATCCATTCCTTGGCGCGCCCACTGAAGCTGCCTCCGAAGATACTGACTTTGGTGATCTTTCTATTAGCATCTCAAATGTAAAACTTTTTTCTGATTTCAATTCAAATGTGTTTTGTTATTTCTTACAAATAATCCGATTCATTTGCTTGAATAGCCATACGTCAAACAAAAGTAAAAGTGTGTTATACTTACTTTCGTAAATAATTCGAACAGCAATGAACCATTAGTTTTTTGTCAGTAACTCCAGTGAATCGAAAGTTGACATAAAAATCGAGGTCTTTCTGGTCATTTCCCATTGAATTCAAACGTCCTTTTATGAGTTCATTCGCTTGAAAAACTAAACATATAGAACCCAAAACAAAGAATGAAAAAAAAAAAAAAAAAAAAAAAAAAAAAAAAAAAAAAAAAAAAAAAAAAAAAAAAAAAAAAAAAAAAAAACAAAAAAAAAAAAAAAAAAAAAAAAAAAAAAAAAAAAAGAAAAAAAAATTGAAGACAAACATAACGCTGAAACTTGGAAAACAAAGCGAGGATTACGCAGAAAGTACAGACCTACATAAACACATGCCTTAGAAAGATCCTGAACATCAAACGGCAAAATACCATCACTAACAAAGATCAAATGGAAAGGACTTATCAGGTGCCCATTGATGAAGACATGATAAAGAGAAAAATGGTGTTGGATAGGGCATACTGTCCGAAATTCCCAGATATTACCACCAGTCAGTGTATAACATTGTTCCACAAGGAAAAAGAAAGAGAGGAAGGCAAAAGAATACATGGAGTCGCGAGCTAGAGTTAGACACACACAATATGGGATACACCTGGAAGCAACTGGAAGGGAAGGCACAGGACCGTGATGAATGGAAAATTCTTGTGGACGTCCTACAGACGGGGTAAAATGGCATCATAGAAGAAGAATAGAAGAAAAAAAACATAACGCTTGCTTTGTATTTTATATTGGACGAGTTTCCTAATTTATATTTTTTATTTTCGATTTAAAATGACTTTTAAAAGCGATGTTTTAAAAAACCCAATTAAAAGTTTGCGCGTAATAATGTGAAGTGGGTCATTCTTTTACGCGCAACACCTTTAAATAAGCTTTGTGAGTATCAAGTAAACAATTTAAAAGAAAAAGAAAAAAGAAATCTAAATCAGCCTTTACTTTGATTGCAGGTACAAATATTTTTTAATGTTTTACAATTAATATGGTTATTATCTCCACTTCAGTCGCCCAAAATAGTGGTTCGAGAATGCCCTGTTATGGTTTCGGACAGGAGAGGGAAGGTTCTCTACTCCCCTCCCTCCCCCCAAAAAATATATTTAAAAATGTGTCAATGGGCTCAAAGAAAACATAGGAGAAACACCGGATGTAGAGAAAATTCGTTTAGTAATCTGTGAGCCGATCGATAATGTTTCTAGGCGAAGTATTGCATGAGGGTCTAGGGTGGTCGCGTTAAAATGGAGGTGTAGCTTTGGGAATAGCCTAGCGCCAAAGATGGAGATGGGAGTGGTGGAGATCATGTCATTGGAATGAGGTTGTCCTGGAGGGGCAGCTGAGGTGGGTTATGGGATAATGGAATGTTAGGCATAGGAAGATGTTACGAATGGAAATAGGAAGACTCGTATGAGGAAAGATTTTAGGGTGAGTTTCAGAGAGAAACAGTTAATGTATTTTTACTTCATTTAACTTTAATTATTTCTGCTTACATCTATTGAATTTCTCTGTGCAGTCGTTATCACAAATAAAGCTCTCAGTGCAGGTCCTGAATCTCTCGTAAAGTGAAGCCCCTTTTGTATAGTAGACTTGAAGACCAACCAGATCTGAAGTATATAGATACGTGCAATTGTCGGTCATTGTTGGAGCCTGGAGGACTAGCAAAAACACGAGGAAAACCACGCCCTTTAAAGCGCCCATTCAGACACATTTATACAGGAGATGCCATAAGTATTCAAGGATGATCTGGATGAGTCAGCACCTGGAATGTCCGGGAAGTAACTACATCACAGTAGGAGCGTTGATGCTATGCAAATCGCAAACTCCACATCTCCATGGAACATTAAAACATTATGCAGATAAAAAACAAAGAATGGGGGTATTGATAAAATTCAAGCATTAGGCTATGCTTTTTATGCCCCAATGTCAGGCATTTCTACATACTCATTGCTCTAGTGAAATCCATACATTTCCACATGCCATTAAATGATTAGAATCATTATAATTCGAGTGCTCTTATATATTGCGGTACCCCAGCTAGGGCTAGGTTCACGTCGCTTCACATAATATTTAGCATGATTTCCTCATCAACGCCAGTAACAGAAACATTGCAAATCCCATCTACATGCATAGGAGCCAAAATGATCAATAAATTGATCGTGGGCCCTTAAGATATAGAAGAAGAAGAAGAAAAAAGACACATGAAAAAAAAGGCAGTCTCATAAAATTCTTCATTTAAAATCAGCTTTGTAAAAATATTGACCAACCCACGCAAGCACTACTGACCCGTGCCTCGCCATGGACGGCACCAAGCAGCATCGAATATTGTTGAGCGGTAAGCGGGGCTGTGAGAATGAGTCGGAATCGTTTAAAGAGATGTAACTTGAGAGACGTAGATGTAACTTGAGAGACGTAGATGTAACTTGAGAGACATAGATGTAACTTGAGAGAAGTTTTGAAGGCTAGGGCGGTCGGTATATGGCGGATGTCTAATGGGAGAGAATTTCATTGTTTTGGGGCGCAGAAAGAGAAAGGTCGTCCACCGTATGTTTTAGTGAGTATTCTGGGATCGGAAGAATACGCGAGTCTGCGGAGGAACGACGCTGTCGAAGCGGTTAATAGACAGAAAGAAGTTCAGTGAGATAAGAAGGCCAGAAACCAGGGAAAAGGTTGTAACAGAGAACAGACAGCTTGTAGTCAATGCGTGCCTGTGTAAGGGAGCCAATGAAGTGAGTGAAGTCCTGGTGTGACGTGGTCAGGTTTCTTTTCCTTTAGAACTATCCCATCAGCTGAGTTTTAACTTTCTGCAGTTTTTCTATGAAATTTTTTGGTGAAACTAACAGATGAGAGTAACGATGATCAAAACGAAAGGGAACACGAGCACATACTAGTGTCATTGTTGTGCCAAATGTGAGGTAATGGCAGGTGGCACTGTTCTGACGGATAGAGGTGTACGCATAGTGACATATGTTAACAAATATGATGATTGAAAAACATTATGTCAGAAAGAATGGAACCAAGACTCATAGCAGATGATTTGAACTGTATATCGGAGCTGCCTACTTGATTGTATTTAAGTCGCAATGAAAGTTGCTTTACCACCTAGTTTCTACTATCTCAAGTCATCATTTTTGTAACATAGTTTCTATTTTGTATGTAGAGTTTTTTTGTTTTTTTTGTATTATTATTTATTACAGAATTATTTCAATGCATTTTTATTTTTTATTTATGTATCATAGTTCGGAAGTATTTAATTTTGCGAAGTCTCATTCTACTTACTCAAACCATCTTTCAGCCACTGTATAAAGTTATGCCGGCATCTTTCTGCTCGCTTTGGGTTGGGCATGGTCTCTACGCACAAGTTCATTGTTTCGTTAGTCCTGGCAGTTGTGCTGCCTGTTTGTTCCAATAACATGATAAGTACTGGGTTTAGGTTAGATGTTGGGTTGGCAGGTGGATAGTATGGAGAGTTGGTCTGAAATACAATGACAGATTACAACATAAGAAGTAGGTTTATGGTTGGTGTTTGGCTTGACAGGAGGAATTATTGAAGAGTTTATCTAAGATAGTGACGTATAACATTTTAATTTTAGTTAGTTTACATGCTTTTAATAATTGTAAAGCGCTTAGAGCTTTAAGGTAAGCGCTATATAAAAATGCCTAAATATATAAATAAATAAATAACACCCTTATACTCGCTGGACCTATGTTGAAAAGAAGACAGACCCACTGACGGGAAGAAATGTGAATTGAAGTTAACAGAAAGTCAGGTCCAGTAACGGGAACAAATGTGAATTGAAGTTAACAGAAAGTCAGGTCCAGTAACGGGAACAAATGTGAATTTAAGTTAACAGAAAGACATACCGACTGAAGGAATTATGAACTAATGCCCCATCACTTTGACAAACACTTAACGATCTCTTTCACGCTAGTGCTGTTTACATGTTATGTGGGCTTATATCGAATTGGGTCAAACATTCCCTGACCTAGACAATCAATTTTATCAGCCCCGATCTTTCAACAGAAGTTGATTTTCAGAAAATGGGTAGGAGTTAGACACAAGGTTTACTAAACATGGGGAAAAGGTATACAACAATATATTTATTTTCTGTAACATGTTTTAAAATATATGTATAAAGAAGAAAGGCGTTTCTTTAAGAGATCTGGTCCCTTGTGTCACAAGAAGGATGCATCCTCTAACACAGGCCTGCACAACATACGACCTGCTAGCACCTATTTTGTGGCCTGCGAAGTAACGAAATACTCTTTAGTATTCTTATTATTATTATCTTAATAGCTTTCCCCCCAGTCCCTTTTTCTTTCGGTCCGCACAAGTTTTTTATCAAGTATTACGGCCCACCTTACATTTTCAATTGTGCAGGCCTGCTTTACTCACCAAGTCTTGGGTCCCAGAAATGGGCTGTAGCGAGCATTCGTACACAACAATGGTAAAAGACCAATGCAAAGACTCGCAGTCAATGCATGTGTAGTAACACATGGTATAAAAATACAAAAAGATGAACAGAAACCGTAAAAAGAAATTTAATAATAAAGTGACAATATTTTTTATATTGTCTCATAACACAGCCCACAGATGTACAGAGCCCGCAGTTGCACACAGCCAACAGTTGTACACAGCCCGCAGTGTACACAGCCCACAGCAGTACACAGTTCACAGTTGTACACAGCTTTCAGTTGTACACAGCCCACAGTTGTACGCAGCCCACATTTGTACAAAGCCTACAGTTGTACACAGCCCACAGTTGTACACAGCATACATATGTACAAATCCCACATTTGTACAAAACCTACAGTTGTACACATCCCACAGTTGTACACAGCCTTCGGTTGTCCACAGCCTACAATTGTACACAGCCACAGTTGTATACAGCCTACAGTTGTACACATCCCACATTTGTACACAGCCTACAGTTGTACACAATCTACAGATGTACAAATCCCACATTTGTACACAGCCTACAGTTGTACACAACCTACAGTTGTACACAGCCCACAGTTGTTCACAGCCTACAGTTGTACACAACCCACATTTGTACACAGCCCACATTTGTACACAACCTACAGATATACACAGCCCATATTTGTACACAGCCCACAGTTGTACACAGCCACTGTCGTACACAGCCTACAGTTGTACACAGCCACTGTTGTACACAGTCTACAGTTTTCTCGCCTCTGTCAGAAAACAAGGGAAAACGGGCGGAAATACCCACTGTTCTTGTCGTCTTTCTGAGAACGTAAATACAGCTGTGGACACAGTGGTCAGAGATTTCGTCTCCGTAATAAAGTTGGAACAGCTGTGGACACAATGGTCTGAGGTTTTGACTCCGTCATAAAGTGGGAACAGTTTTGGACACAATGGTCTCAGGTTTTGTCTCCGCTATAAAGAGGGAACAGCTGTGGACACAATGGTCTCAGGTTTTGACTCCGTCATAAAGTGGGAACAGCTGTGGACACAATGGTCTCAGGTTTTGACTCCGTCATAAAGTAGGAACAGCTGTGGACAAAGCTGTCACTGACTCCTTCACTGTCACAAATTGGGAATACTGTCCACCTTTTTAAAGATTTGAAAGGCTAGTGTCAATGTGCCAAACTTGCACGGGGACAATGGCGTAAGCAAAACTCCAAGAAATGAAAAGTCTTTAGTACACTCTTTGACGTCACTTTTTGCCTTGGAATTATAGACAGTGTTCATCCAAACCAACAAAGTAATTTTCCATTCTACAAAAATAAAATAAAAAAAAAAACATTGAAATTAAAATAAAAAAATTAAAAAAAAGAAATATTGATATAAAAAACAAAAGACATATTTCAACATTTTGAACATGAAACCTATGATCAATGGGTAAAGGTATGTCTACATCTACAAAATTTAAAAGATGAAACTCATAAATTCATGGAATTCATACTTTGATATGTTTCTACTTCTAATCAAGGACACACAGTCCCAGGTCAAAGAGTTTTAATTATCGGTTTAGCCACATTGTCATATTGTCATCTCGTCATATTGCCACATTATAATTTTGTCTTATTGTCATATTAGAAGATTTTCAAACACTAAAAAAAATTATATAAACAAAACCTTTATTACCAATCCCAGCAGTTCCGATCCTTTCAGCTCAATGTTGTAGAACCATCCACGAATCTTGAAGAACCCGACGTCCCAGAATATAAGTGTGTACATAACACCTTCCTTGGCGTCCCAGTTGACTTTTGGCTGTTTCCTGTAGATCTCAGCGCCAAGCTTGTGATAGAGTATTGCAAAAGTTAGGAGCTGCTGCAGCTGTTCAAAAATCATCTTCAGAACAAGGTTTTATGACTGGTACAGGAACTAATGCCCATGTATCGCCTTGTACCGTACATGAACTAATGCCCATGTATCGCTTTGTACCATACGTCTCAGTGTTTGTTAGTGTACGCGACAACATGCCAAGTTTACGAGGCTAGCAAGTTCCGGCGATGAATCAATCGAGCAGATTGATGTAGAATTTGTTAAAATTGATGTAGAGAGTAATAGTGAACATTTTGTTCAGTTGAAGACATATTTAAAACAAACTATATAAATCCATACTGTTATATCAGAAGACGATAAAACTGGCCGTCAATCGTGACCATGGCCATGGCGTTCAGGGTACTGGCCGGAAAACTGGCCGTCAATTGTTGGTCAAAGACGCATATGCAGTCGTTTTCCAGATTTTGACCGCCTTAGTTAAGCGCAAGCAGTTCACAGCAGTTGTGCTGAAACTTATTTACCACAATATTATGTACCATCGTATAATGTACTTTAACATTGTGTACCAATATAATGCCAAGGGTAAGATAATCACTGTTGTTATGTGTGGCATGGAAAAGATGTTTATTGCAGAGATCATGTGTGTAGCTGTATCTACGTATTTGGTGAAGTGGAAATGACGTGTTGGTTTGGTTGCTGTTATGGTGGAGTGATGGCCGTTGTAGGATACTCTCTGTTTCACTTTTGTGTGTTGCCGAGTGTTAGGCAAGAAAGTCTTGACTATTATCCATAACTAATATAACAGCATATTGTCGAGGTGATTAAACTTATAGAGTAAACTGAACTATTCAGTGAGTTAGTGTATGGTTGTGACAACTTTAGAGTCAATACCTAGCAAATAGTCGTCTGGTATTAATATTAGACGACTATTCAATATTTGAGATTTTACATCTCGTTATATAGTATGTACCATACTTTTATGAATCATATTGCTATGTACTATTAATAATGTATACCAATATAGTATTACCATACTATCTTTGACGATATTAATATGTACTATAACAATGTGTATCAATAAAGTATGTACATAGTATTATGGACCATGATTCTGTGTACCATAACACTGAGAACATTAAAAAGTCTATAGTAAAATATCAATTTTGAAGTAATTTAAATCAAGTAATAACTTACACGAAGTTTGCTGTCCGTGGGAAGGCCGTCCTCATGTAAGGTGAATTTCTTCACTTCTGGCATATGTTCCTCACTCCCACATACATCGACATTTTCTAATTATGAGCACACACAGAAAGAGACGATGCTCATGTATCTTACACTACTTATAAGTCAGTGTGCAAATCGACATTTTATGTTTATATTTCAGTCAATTGAGTCCATCATTGGTCAGTCAAATGAGTCATATTTCAGTCAAATGAGTTATATTTCAGTAAAGTGATTCACATCTTAGTCAAATTGGCAATACCTTCATCTCATGGGTCATATTTCAGTAAAATGAGCCACATTTTAGTCAAATAGGCAACACCTCCATCCCATGAGTCATATTTTAGACAAATAGGGAATATTTAAGTCACTCGGTGTTACATTTTTGCAAAATAATCTTCTGGCAACTCTGGTGGTAGGCAATGATAGCAGAAGAAGCAACGAAGCAACCAGGTATTGCGTTTGTTTTGCTCTAAGGAAAATGAAACTAATGTAACAAAAATATAACTAATGTAGCAAATATGGCACTAACGTTACAATAATAACATTAATATAAAAAATGACACTAATGCAACACACATGACACTAATTTAAAAAAAGATGACATCAATGTAAAAAATATGTCACCAATGTAAAAAAATGACACTAATGTAACTAATAAACTGACCCCAATGTAACAAAACTGACCCCAATGTAAAACAAAATTACATTAAGGTAACACATATTGCACTAAAGAAACAAAATTGACACTAGTGTAACAAAAATGACACTAGTGTAACAAAAATGACACTAGTGTAACACAATTGACACTAGTGTAACAAAAATGACACTAGTGTAACAAAAATGACATTAGTGTAACAAAAATGACACTAGTGTAACAAAAATGACACTAGTGTAACAAAAATGACACCAAGGAATACAACTGTGTACGAAGCTAAAAACCTAATGCAATGAGGTAAAAGGCGCGCACCTTCAGGGGCACTGAACACAACCTCAAGGTC